GTGCCACAAATGCCAGGCCTTGTCGGCTCCCTTCCTGGGAAATCTGGGGTGCTCTGCTCTCCAGGCAAAGGGGAGACCTTGGGCAGAGAGTATACCCTGCCTGCAGACCCCATCCCGACACCCCAGACCTGTGAGGTGCAATCTGATTGTTTTGGCAAGTTGGGATGTGATGAGGATGGTAGGGGAGATGGCCAACAGGCATTTCATATTTATAGAGGCTCCACTCAGCTCCCACACAGTCCCCTCTTTTAGCCACCTGTTCCGGTTTCCCCACTTGTGTGAAGGCCCTGTAGACCTCCCTGGCGGTCAGCAGAGCTGGTTAGCAGGGGCTGGAAGCCCTGGGTGAGCAGCTGCCTTCCTCCTCCCCTCCCCCTAGCAGGAGGAGCATCAGGACAGACACCTCTGCAGCCAAACTCCAGCCAGACTGCAGCCACTGCTCCAGCACCTAACAATAGCCCTGGGCTGGGCCCCACATGGGGCTGGGCGAAGTCCCCGGCCAGGACCCGGTTTCCCCAGGCACAGAAAGGGCAGGACTTTCCATCCTGACCACAGGGTCTCTGAGAGCAGAAGACACAGGACAAATAAGCACCTGTTTACACAGGTGTGCTGGCTCAGGGGATTTACAAGGAGCCAAATTCCCTCTCCTGTAAAAAAAAAAAAAAAAAAAAAGCTCATGTGACATTTAGCATTTCAAGAGCCCTGAAGATGAGAAGACAACTGCCTTTGGTAGAAAGGAGGGGGAGGGTGTCTTGACCTAAGAAGCTGTGCATGGGCCTGCGCCCCAGACCAAAGCTGAGGGACAGTCTCCTGAAATGGCACCCACAGCTGCCAAGCTCTCCTTCGTTCTGCTGGCAAATGGACCCGTCTCCACCAGAATGCCCCCGGGCTGAGGACCCCTGGTTGGTCTCAGAACCCCCTAAGCTTCTGGTAGATAGCAGGCCATCTGTATGCCCAGGACTTTGATGCTCTTCTGTTCAGAGCAAAGTCAGATTCCCATCTCGAGGCGTGTTCTGCACGCAAGCAACTGGATGTTCAAAATCTGAGTGTGTATTCTCAGGGCAAGAGCCCTGATCTCAGAGCCACAAAGAGAGATGTGGGAAAAGGAGAGCAACGAAAAGGCCCATTCAAGCTGGCCCCTTTTACCCACAAAAATGGGGCTCAAACACCTTCCTCCTCTCTTCTGCCCAGTGTCCCAGGTTCAGAGCTGCTCATGGAAGGCACTCAGGAGGATAAAGGTTTAATATCCGGTGCTTTGAAGCCCACCACCCTTCCCTGCCCCTCCAGCAGGGAATCAGCACATTCACAAGCTCCACCCCTTCCCAGGCCAGGGGCTTGCCCCTGGAGCACCAGGCTTGGTCTTGGTCTTCAAATTTCTCCTGAGCGCTGGGTGAACCAGTTAAACGAGTCTCGCCTTTCCTAAGTTGTTGTGTTTTTTAAGTCTGGCAGGCAGCTACTGGAGGCCTTCCAACCTGCCGCTCAGGCCAACCCTCATAATAAGAAAAATACTACTCTCTATCTGCCTCATTTAGGAGGTTCCTAAGTTTTCCTTCGGTGGTTAACTAAATTTCATCTTATATAACCACCATAAATTTTCTAAAAATTTCCCCAACTGGTGCCAAAAACTGCAGAAGTGTGTGTGAGACAGGGGAAGTCTCCAGGGGAGTGACCAGGAGTTCTAGCGAATCTTCACACAACAACAGAACTTCTCTCTCCACGCTCTAAGAAAGCCTCACCTTGCTCCCTTTCCAGAAAGATTCTAAGAGCTCATCTCTCATAGACTGTTTAAGTATCTCCACATTGTTTTTGTAATTAGAAAAGGTAATGTGAAGCAGGTGAGGTTGGGATGATGAGACATCATGGGCAAGCCTGTTACTGACACAAACAGAATAAACTCAGAGCTTCCGACTTGGGAGCTTTGGCCCACACCCCACAAAAGGCTTGTGCTTTATCTGAGCGAGAGCAGGCCCTAGTTATGCACTGGGGAATTCCACTCCACGTACAGCCCTGGGGGCAAAAGCTTTCCTCTTAGCTGGAAGGTTTAGGTGTCTTCAGAAAAGACAAAGACTGAACATGCCAACAAAGCCTCCTTTTCACATTAACAGTGTCCAGGGAAGGGCCAGCTGCTGTTTCTGAAGCACCTTCATCACCTTAAGAAAAGTCTACTGGGAGGACTGGAGACAACTGGCCTCTCTCTGTCTCTGGTGCTAAAGAACTGGCTTTTGCAGAAACTAGGGCTTCAGTTTACAGCCTTTCGTTTCCACGCAGAGACACATGCACACACACAGACATACACACCCCTTGAGGACGTGGCCTCAAGGACAAGTGGAAAACTAGGACTAGCGCAGAAAGAGCAGCGGCTATGCCTCAGGCTGGCCGGCCAACCTCCCCTTCGTCTCAGGGGACCGTGACTGCCAGTGAGTTTCTGTAGGTAATCTGTGCCAGGGTGGGACTGCCAGGCCTGGTCTCCCCAGCTCTTCCCTGAGGTAGCTGGTGGGGAAGAGATGGAAGAGATGGATGGGTAGCACCAAGCACTCAAGTGCTGACATGGAGGAGGACAGGGACACCTGGGGGCGTCCCAGGCAGTTTTCCGGCAGAGCTGGAGCCCCTCACCTTCCCCGTTCTTCACAAGGGTGTGTGGGTAACTCCTCACTCACTGGCCACAGGAGCACTCTGTCCCCTGCAGCTGCTCTTGGAAAGTTCTCCCTCATGACTCCAAGAGCCAGGTTCTCGCAGGCCAAGGCCCCTCTGAGGCGTCTTTGTGTTCTTACTACAGCAAAGGCAGTGTCTACAGAGAACCCTCCCCAGCAACCCACAGGACAAAAAGAGGTCTTCATGAGGTCTCCACACATGTGGGAAAGAACTGAATACGGTTTTTGAGGCTGTGATTGGGGAGGGCCACGAAACACAGGGAAGGCTCCTTTCCCATCATGGTCCCAAGCAGAGATGGCTAATGGGGACAAAGCTGAGCTTGAGCATCTCAACACAATGCACACGTGACGACAGATTCAGGGACACAGTGGCAGTCAGACCAGGGGAAGAGGAAGGCTGTCCACTGTGGAGGAAAGGGGCTTCCCAGATACCAGGTAGGATATAAAACGGAAGGAAATGCAGGGGGCAGGGACAGAGCCATAACCTGTCCTGCGCTGGTCCTTCGACCTGAGCAAAGGTTAACAGGCTGCATGTAGCTGAGACAAGTAGATAACGTGCCTGCTTGCATCCAGAATCTTCTGGCTGAGCAAGTAATTAAGAGATAGGAGAAGGCTCTGGGACCATGAGCCCTGCCTAGGCTAATGTTGTCGGGGGGAAGAGCCCTTGAACCCATTTGGCAGAGAGGAGGCTGCACGTGGGAAGCCCAAGGACATCTGTGAGAAGAGTCTCCCCAGGAAGTGGTCATCATCAGGACCCAGGTTAAACGATCCTGTCCTCAGACTCTTGGAAATCCCAGCACTCTTTTTCTAAGAACCCTGCTGTGACTTTCATCTGAGAAGGCAGGCCCGGCCCAGGGTTGGAGGCACCCCTGCTCAGATCTACTGCCTGTTCTCACAGAAGACACAATCCTCTGATGAACATGGTTTGGAGACCAAACCGAACAGTAAGAATGGAAAATCAGAGAATCACCAGCAGCATGGGCTGAGTAGCACTGAGGAGAAGTCAGTCTATTCCGAAAAATTGCAAAGAGAAACCTCTGGACGGTCTCGCATCCTTTGTGGCAGCTGTAATTTCCTAAGCATTGACCCCATGCCAGGCTCTGTTCTAAAGGGTCTTACCTGTAATATCTTACTCAGCTCTGACAATCCTATGAGCCAAGTATTGTTAGCCACATTTCATGGACCAGAAAATCAAGGCTCTGCTCAGCCGAGCAACTTGTCCAAGATTATAGTCAGTGAGTGGTAGAGGGAGACTGAAACTCTGCTTAGCTGGACTCCAAACTCCTTAACCACAGAACACCAGGGAGATGTTGACACTCATTTTGTCACCAGAGATGCCATGTTACAGTGACTTGGGAGTTACGGAATCCTCTGCCCCTGAGGCCCTATCACCTGTGGTATTTATTGCTGGGCTCTGAAGCAGCCTCCAAGGTAGGAGGCAATACGCTTTGGTGGAGCAGTGAGGCAGCCTGTCACCAGTTTTCTCTTTCTTTTTTTTTTGAGACAGAGTCTTGCTCTGTTGCCCTGGTTAGAGTGCAGTAGCATCATTGATAGCTCATTACAACTTCAAATTCCTGGGCTCAAGTGATCCTCCTGCCTCAGTCTCCTAAGTAGCTGGGACTACAGGCATGTGCCACCTCGCCTGGCTAATTTGTTCTATTTTTTTTTTTTTTGGTAGAGACAGAGTCTTGCTTTTGCTCAGGCTGGTCTTGAACTCCTGAGCTCAAGTGATCCTCCCACCTTGGCTTCCCAGAGTGCTAGTATTACAGCTGTGAGCCACCGCACCCGGCTTCTGTCAGCACTCAAAATCCCTAAAAAGTGTTTTGGTATTGTACTCACTCTCTCAAGCTCTCTACTGTGGACGGCCACAGGGCATTCTCAGGTGTTTGCCTGAGTTTAAAAGTGATGAGGGGATGGCCAGACTTCCCAGTGATCTGTGCGTGTCACCAGCACACAGACTCCTTTCCCCAAGGAGAGATGGTACACTCTCTGGCCCCTCTGCTGTTGGAGTGACTCCAGCTGTCTCGGGGCCAACCATAGTCTGGGGGATGGGTGAAAGAATAGCCGAATCTCCCAACCCAAGTGCATGGAAGGAGGGTGCCAAAGGGCAGAGGACAAATGGAGCAACCGGAGCGCCTCCCCAGGTTGTGGACCTGACCCCTGGGCCCTCCCCTTCCTTGTCCCTCTTCCTCTCCAACCTGAGCAGCAAAGTTCTCTGGAACAGTCTGGGTCCTTACCACCTGAGGAACCATTCCTGCTGGAGCCAGGGTAGAAAAGCTACACAGAGCCACCCTCCACTGGAGGCTCCTCTACCAGTGCTCAGCGGGCTGGTGAGGCAGGCCAAGCCCTTACCGTTGTAGGAGAGGCGAGGTTTGCTCAGACACATTATAAAGTGCATTTCCATCTCATCAGAAGCCACGGACTTGGAGCAAATGGGGCACTTGAAACCTGCAAGAGAGGAGAACAGGATGAAATGTCTTCTCCAAATCCAGTTTACCCACAATACATGGGTACATTCTCAACTAACTGCAGCCACGTGGGGCTAGAGTCAACGTGGAGGATGACAATCTGGACACACCCTAGACCTGAGTTCTCCTTCGTTAAGTCATTTGAGATTTTGCCTTTTTATTACAGCTGTTGACTCCCAGCTCTCACAAGGGCTCTCCCTGTCACATAACTCTTGCTAACATTTAACAGAGGTCACTGACAACTGATTTGAGTTTTATTTTCTTTCAGACTTTCTCAAGGGGGTCTAGTGGACAGTGGGGACAGGGAAGCACCAAATGAAGATGGCTGAAGAATCAACCTTTGCCTAATAGTCTCCCATCCTTCTGCCTCATGGCCTTTAAACCACGTGGCTGGGCCACCTGCAGAGGAAACCCTATAGCTACCAGCACCTCCATCCCTCACCCGGAGCACCCTTTGCCTCCCTCGTGGCCCAGGCAGCTGTCCTTTGAGAAGTGTGTGAGCTGCAGGTGGGCCTTCCTGAGTGCTCCCGAATGCTACGCCAGCCCTGGCCAAATGCCAATAGCTGAGAACAACAGCTATTTCATGGTGCCAGGTGAATACAGGGTATTGTGATCCTGCCATTTTATTCCCAAGGAAGTGTGGACTGTTTATAAACTCAAGAGTTTCAAATGATACAGAATTATATCTCTACTGGAAAATTTTGGTTGAGAATCTTCTGAGTTGAACCCCATTAAGCAAACCTAGTCCCTTCATCTATTTTTTTCATACAACACAGATGAAATATTTTCCGTTTTTTTCCATTTTATTTTCATTGAAATCATTTTCAAATGGATCAAAACTTTTCCATATAAATTCTACTAAAAAGATCTGTGCGTGTCACCAGCACACAGACTCCTTTCCCCAAGGAGAGATGGTACACTCTCTGGCTCCTCTGCTGTTGGAGTGAAATCTCCAGCCATTGAAATCTCATTTATCTGTCTGCCTTGAACTGTAGGTATCATAGCTACTCTCTTTTGTGACGATGATTCCTACCTGCCCAGTCTAGACTTCCCAATACAGCACATCTAACTACAGCTGACCCCCAAAACACAGGATTGAATAGCACGGGTCCACTTACATGTGGTTGTCCTTCTGCCTCTGCCACCCAAGACAGCACGACCAGCCCCCTCCTCCTCCTTTTGAGCCTACTCAATGTGAAGGTGACAAAGATGAAGACCTTTATGATGATCCCCTTCTACATAATGAACAGTAAATATATTTTCTCTTATGATTTTTTTTTTTTTTTTTTTTTTGAGACAGAGTCTCGCTTTGTTGCCCAGGCTAGAGTGAGTGCCATGGCGTCAGCCTAGCTCACAGCAACCCCCAACTCCTGGCTCAAGCAATCCTGCTGCCTCAGCCTCCGAAGTAGCTGGGACTACAGGCATGCGCCACCATGCCCGGCTAATTTTTTGTATATATATTAGTTGGCCAATTAATTTCTTTCTATTTATAGTAGAGACGGGATCTCACTCTTGCTCAGGCTGGTTTCGAACTCCTGACCTTGAGCAATCCCGCCCGCCTCAGCCTCCCAGAGAGCTAGGATTACAGGCGTGAGCCACCGCGCCCGGCTCTTATGATTTTTTTAACATTGTCTTTCTTCCTTCCTTTTTTGTTTTTAAGAGACAAGGTCTTGCTCTGTCACCCAGGCTGGAGTATAGTAGCCCCATCATAGCTCACTTACAGCCTTGAACTCCAGGGCTCAAGTGATCTTCCTATCTTAGCCTCCTGAGTAGTTGGGACTATAGATGTGTACAACTGTACCTGGCTGACTGTTTAATGTTTTTTTTTTTTGTAGGTATAAGTTCTCACTATGTTGTCCAGGCTGGTCTTAAACTCCTGTCCTCAAGTGATTCTCCCACTTCAGTCTCCCACAGTGCTGGGATTATAGGTATGAGCCCACCATGCCTGGCCTTAATAACATTTCCTTTACTCTAGCTTACTTTATTGTAAAAATACAGTATATAATACATATAACATACAAAATATGTGTTAATCAGCTGTTTTGTTATTGGGAAGGCATCTGGTAAACAGCAGGCTATCAGTAGTTAAGTTTTGGGAGAGTCAAAATTTATATGAGAATTTTTGACTATGTGTGGGAGTTGGTGCCATGAACCCCTGCATTGTTCAATGGTCAACTGTACTGTACATAAACATTTGACTCTACTGTAAATTTTTAATCAAAATTTTCCATACACAGTTTTACTTGATGCTGGAAATAACTATCTGCAGCATTTCTTATGAAACAGACAAAAGCCTGAATGCTCAAGCCGACTGTGAGCTGTTCCAGGACAGGGGAGGAGTTCACACCTTCACTGGTGACCTTCACATGGGAGCCTCCCTAACTCTGCATGGAAACCAGAGACTCTGGCAGCTGGCTGGTGCTGAGACAGGAAGCATGTTGGCACAAGCACTTGGCTTAAAGTCTTCTCCAAATCCTCCTTTTATTCAGTGACAATGCTCTGAACTATAGGACCAGGCAGAAAATTCAGGGTCTGGCTAACTATGGACACTTGACTTCATGGAGATGTCCCCATCCCCCAACACCCTTTCTCAAAGGTTCTTAGCATCTAAACAATTCAGCTAAAATGTCTTGCAAATGCTACCAACCCAAGGTCTCCGGCCACACTTTGAGAAAAGGCTGTATTTCTGACCTATGGTAGTTACAAATCCTGGAGTAAGAAAACCAGAAAGAAGCCTTAAGAGAAACGTGGAGGTTTCAGTTTTCTGGCAGAGCTGGATCGAAAAAGCCCCAGGCTGATTATTTTTAACCCAGTTTACAAATGTGCTGACCCAGTGTCACACACTTGATGGAAAGACAAGGAACGAACGTGAGTCTCACAGAATGAAGATGTTCTTCACAGCTAGCCTAAGTCCCTCTACTTTCACAAAGTTTTTTTTTTTTTTTAATTCCAAATACCAAGGTTTTGCAGCCTTTTAAATAACTACAGGACATCTGTACTTTAAATGTGCTAAGCTGGCACCTGTCTGCAGGCTGAGGGCTGGCGCTGTGGCAGGCAAGGACAAGTGTGCTCCAGAACGCGTCTCCACCACCAGGCCCCAACACTTTCACTGTGAAGTGTTAAAAGTGACCTGTGACTAATAACAAACCTTGCACTTCGCAAGTGTGCACTTTCCTGATAACTCAGAACAGATTCAAGGTTATCCTTACAATAGCATCCTTCACTTCCCTGTATTCCAACATGATTCCTCGAGCACAGGAGCAGGGGTCAAATTACAGCTAAGGTGCTGGGAAAGCAGGCCACACACACCCAACAAGGTCTACAAGGGAATGTCACCAGACATCTATGTTCTAGGAAAACAAAAAGGTTGAGACTCAGGTTTTGAGCAATCCCCTCTTTGTACAGATGAAGGAACAGGCCCCAGTGAGGCCTTTAACTCGCACACAGAGACTAGCCTCAGATTTCTTAGCTCCCAACCTAAAGTTCTTTCCAACATGGAAGAAAGAGTGGAGCACAGGGTTTTAACAAAGAGGTGGGCTAGGATATATTACCTCTGAAGGGTAAGCACCACTGTAGTAGGAAGAGACCTACATTTTAACTAAAGCAGGTTCAGTAACACCAGCAGCACCTACCTCTGGGTGTTTCTGTTTCTGTAAAGTTCAAACAATAACTCAGGGTCTGTTATGTGAGTGGGAAATGGCACAATGGCCTGGGCTTTCCAGCCTCAAGGCCCTAGCAAGTAACGTACCCCTCCCTGGACCTCAGTGTCCTCATGTGAAAAATGGGGATTTTGCCTCACTCTTGCAAGGATTAAATGAGTTAAGAAACATGAAAGGGTGCTGAAAAGAAGCAAATCAAATGCAGGTGGTATCATCATCATCATCATCGTCATCATCATCATCATCATCATGATGCCTGGAGGAAGGAATAGGAGGGTGAGAAGAAGGATTTGGCAGGACTAATGGCTCAGGCAATGGGCCAGCAGGAGCCTGAGCCCGGCTTCACTGGCCACAGGCTGTCCCATCTGCTGGGGGTGGCCAGCGGCCACCACACTTCTGCCCTTCTCTGCTAGATCCTGTTCTTGTTTCCTTTGAACTTCCAGAGCACAGTGTACTGCTATTGGCACGTTCCCTACCACCAATGTGAGAACAATAGTCTCTGTTTAACCTCTATGGCTGCAGTCCCCAACCCTGAGGCTGTGGCCCAGTGTCCCCCACCTCCCACCTTGTTCCATCCATGGAAAAACTGTCTTCCACAAAACTTAGGAACCAGGCTGCACAGCAGGAGGTGAGCGGTGGGCGAGGGAGCAAAGCTCCATCTGTACTTTATCTGTATTTCCAGCTGCTTCCTATCGCTCGTATCACCGCATAAGTTCTGCAGCCCTCCAACCTCCCTGTTGGTGGAAAAACTGTCTTCCATGAAACCAGTTCCTGGTGCCAAAGAGACTGGGGACCGCTGCTCCACAGCACCTACTCTTGCACAATAGTAAATAATAGTTTGCATGTTCGCAGTCATTATTATGGACAGCTACTGTGCTTTCTTTACATGTATTCTCATTTGCTGTAATATAAATATAAGGTAGATGCTATTATTAACTTCATTTTACAGATGAAGACATCAAGGCCCAGAAGATAACCTGTTCAAGGCTAACGTGGCCAAAAAGAGCCAGAGCTGGCGCACGACACGCAGGAAGTCTGAATGCCAAGTCTGCACCTTTGCTCACCATACTGTGCTACTGGCCGCCTAGCACAACAGGAGGAGATACATGGCCAAAAGAACGCAAATACACTAAACATAAATTCTAGTTACTAAAATTTTAGTCACTAAATACTCATTTTTGAACCTTCCACGTTGTTCCAGCAATTTCCCCGTAAGTGCCCACGGTTCTAGGTAATTCCACAACCTGAAACAAGGGACAGTTTTTTCTGGGAACTCTGTTAACATGGAAGACACAGTTCTGCTTTCCACTTGGCCCTGAGCCTGCGGCACTGGTTGTAAGACGCTGAGTTTGCAAATTACCTTTTACATGGAAAATAAAGGGCAAAAGGTAAGAGGGACAGAAAAACACATAGAAGACCTAAGGGGAAAAGACTAATGTCCCCACCTTCTTTCCTGAAAGGTCATCCCATAATCAGGATGGATTCTATCTACCACTCTACTGCCCCTAATCTTTTCTCATAATTGTCCAGTGATGATTCAGTTCCAATAGCTCTACAGAATGATAAATACTGTGATATTTATGAGCTACCTGAAGGTTAAAATATCCAGGAAATTTTGATTCCATTTTGTAAAAAAATCCACACCAAATAAAATCAGCCCTGCAAACAAAAAATAAACCAAAGGCCTGCAAAGTCATCCATGATTTTGTCAAGTTTCTTAAGAGACTTTCATCAGCACTCAGGAAGAGTGGATACGCGATATTTTGTTTTCCTTTAAGAGAAACTTACATGCGGAATCTTCAGGACACTCCCTAACTGCTTCTGAGACCAGACTCTGCCCATTCCCCGCCCTGGAGGCCGTGGGAGCAGCCAGCCACATTGCTCCAGCCAGCTTCCGAGCGGGTTGATGCCCTGCGTGGGTTGTGTCTGCCACGTTTGCCACCGACAGAGCGAAGGGACATGGGGGCTAGCTCAGGCTTGCTGGCCAGGTCTGACACTGGCTCGCCTTCAGCCGTCATCTCCTCCCACCAGACTGACTAGAGCCAGGGAACTTACCTGGTTCCTTGTTCTTTTCTGCCAGTATCAAAACGAGGAAGGAAGGAATCAAATGACAGAGCACTGCGGGGAATGTGTCTGTAATTGCCCAACTCTGCACTGGGTGGGCTCTACCAATTGAATGCCGCTGTGGGATCCCTTCACTACCCTAGAGAGCACTTCTCATGGAGACCTGATTTCCCTTCTTTCCCTTTTCTCCTCATCAGCTCAGCTCAGTGTTTATACTGCCAGAAGAGCTGAGGGGAGCGTTTGATCAGCCAGAGCCCAGCTGCTTCCTGTCTTTCAACAGCGCCTCGTTTAAGTGGGGAATCCTCTGCTGCTGTCTGCTGTGCCAGAGACCACAGCTCCTGAGAGAAGGCAAGTCTGCACTCGCCACTGGTGACCCCTTACTGCCAGGTCAAAGGGAAACCCACAAGGGCAGACTAGGCCCACTGGTAGGTGAGTGAACAGTGACTCCAGGAGTGCTGGTGTGGGCATGTGCATCCCATACCTTTCTGAGTCAGGGTACCTGGGCCTCTGGCTCTTGCATTTGACCGACAGAGCAACTGAGGAAGGAGAGGAGAACTGGCTCGGGTTACAGAATTCTCCCAATACACTATAACATTTATGTTGCAATATAAATTAGAGTTTTCATGCTTTGGGGACCTATGTATTTCTCATTTTCCAAAACTGCAACCTTCTCCTTTAAGACCTGATTTCTCGGGCAGGACCACGTGCTGGCGACATGTTGCTCCAGTTTCCCTCCCCTTGTCTCCCTCCCTATGCTGGTGCGCTATTTTAAAGGCTGCCCCAGTTCTGCCTGTCTCTGGGATCACCTAAAGGTAGAAGAATCAAAAGAAGCAACCAGGGAAAGGAAGCCAAGCCACCCCGGCAGGAGGGCCTGGGGAAGAGGGGCCTATGTGAAGCCCTTTTGGCCTAGAGGCTCAGATGGTGCGCCTGCCCCTGACTCTGACCTTCCTATTCAGTTCCTCGATTCCAGCCTCAACCTTTCCCTGCCACATCCTTGTGGTGCTTAATGCCAGTAAAATAGGACTTGACTGATTGAATTTTATTAAATGGGATTTACAAATAGAAGATCAAAGGGTAACATGGAATGCTTTTTTACATTCCTAAACCATAGGTATCACACTCTTTACCCTCAAAGATACACACATACCCTCTCTCACAGAAATAATTGAAAACCAACAAACAACTTATCAGTTGCTAACGTGTAAGCCAGTCTCTCCTAGAGAACATTCTGGGTTGAGGAGAGGCCCATGAGTTCTGGCTTCTGACTCTTTCAACACCTCTTTTCTGAACTCACATTCTGCTGTTCTGTTCCAGGGCCTCTGGGGCTCACCTGTTTCCCCAGGAGCCAAGAACCTTCTCAAGAGCAGAAATCAGAAGACAAGTCACACTGATAATCAAAGCTAGTTTAATATACTTGTATGTAGGCGGGGCGTGGTAGCTCATTCCTATAATCCTAGCACTCTGGGGGGCCAAAGCGGGAGGATCACTCAAGGTCAGGAGTTCAAGACCAGCCTGAACAAGAGAGTGAGACTCCGTCTCTACTAAAAAAAATAGAAAGAAATTAGCTGGACAACTAAAAATATATAGAAAAAATTAGCCGGGCATGGTGGCACATGCCTGTAGTCCCAGCCACTCGGGAGGCTGAGGCAGAAGGATCGCTTGAGCCCAGGAGTTTGACGTTGTTGTGAGCTAGCCTGATGCCACGGCACTCTAGCCCAGGCAACAGAACAAGCCTCTGTCTTAAAATAAAATAAAATAAAATAAAATAAAATAAAGCTGTGTTGAAAAAATATATATATATACTTGTGTGTGTGTATATATATGTGTGTGTGTATATGTATGTGTGTATGTATATATATATATAAACATGTCTGTTGTGGTGGTTAATTTTATGTGGCAACATGAATGGGTCATGGGGTGCCCAGGTATTTGACTAAACATGATTTATGGGTGTGTCTGTGACAGTGTTTCCACAGATAAGATTAGCGTTTCGATTGGTAGACTGAGAAAGCAGACTGCCCTTCCTAATGTGTTGAAGACCTGAATATAATACAAAGGCAGAAGAAAGAGTTCACTCTCTCTGCCTGACAGCTTGAGCTGGGACATACATCTTCTCCTGCCCTTGAACTGGAACTGGTGTACATCGGCTCTCCTGGTTCTCAGGCCTTTGAACTTGGATTGGAACTATTCCACCAGCTTTCCTGGGTCTCCAGCTTGTAGACAGCAGATTGTGGGATTTCTAAGCGTGTCTATAATCACGTGAGCCAATTCCTTATAATAAATCTCTTTATACACACACCCATACACATATACACTATTGGTTCTGTTTCTCTGGAGAACACTGACTAATACATCTGTCTATTAAGATGCCAGACAAAAAATTTAAAAGACTAACACCACCAAATGTTGGTGAAGATGCGGAGCAACTAGAACTCTCATATATTGTTGAGGGAGTATAAAATGACACAGCTGCTTTGGGAAAAGATCTGGTAGGTCCTTACAAAACAAACGTGCATCTAGCCTATGACACAAGCAATTTCTCATGTATATATTTACCCAAATGAAATGAAAATATATGCCTACAAAAGACATTTACAAGAATGTTCATCTCAGCTTAATTTACAACAGGCAAAAACTGGAAACAACTCAACTGTCCATTAAGAGAATGGAGAAAGAAACTGTGGTACATTCATAGAATAAAATGGAACATTATTCCACTATAAAATGCAAGAAACTACTGACACATGCAACAACACAGATGACTATTAAAAACATGCCAACTGAAGGGCACAAAAGTGAGCATATTATGATTCCAATTACATGAAGTTCTACAACAGGCAAAATTAATCTATTAGTGGAAAAAATCAGAACAGTGGTTATCTCTAGGAAGTAGGGGTAGGGGGCAGAGATTCACTGAGAAGGTGATGAGAGAACTTTCCAGGGTGAGGAAAATGTTCTGTATCATGACAAAAGTTTGGGTTACATAGAAGTGCGTGCATTTGTCAAAACTCAGCAAACATACACAAAATTTGAGATTTTGTTGTTTGCAAATTTTACCTTAACCATGAAAAAAAAAACTATAAACAAATACTGAACTGTAGTTAATGATTCATATCCTGAAGCCTTTTTTTTTTTTTTTTTTTTGAGACAGAGTCTCACTTTGTTGTCCAGGCTAGAGTGAGTGCCGTGGCGTCAGCCTAGCTCACAGCAACCTCAAACTCCTGGGCTCGAGTGATCCTTCTGCCTCAGCCTCCCAAGTAGCTGGGACTACAGGCATGTGCCACTATGCCCGGCTAATTTTTTATATATATATATCAGTTGTCCAATTAATTTCTTTCTGTTTATAGTAGAGACGGGGTCTAGCTCTTGCTCAGGCTGGTTTTGAACTCCTGACCTTGAGCAATCCGCCCGCCTCGGCCTCCCAAGAGCTAGGATTACAGGCGTGAGCCACAGCGCCCGGCCATATCCTGAAGCCTTTAAAGGGAAGTGAACTGATGTCTCCATTGAAATGAAATGCATCAAAAAATAAGATGTGTAACTTACACTTTTTCCAACTTTGTGTTTGAAATCTTAATAATGAAACACTGAACAAAGTGTCAAGCAGTGAGCTCTGTTGTGAAGACAAAGCCAAGCAGAGTGTGGGTGTGTGCTAATTTAGATACAGCGGTCAAGGAAGGCCTCTGAGGAGGCGACAGGTGAGCAGACACCTGACGTACTACAAGAACAGTGAGAGTAGAGCATCCAGGCACAGTGAGGACAAGGGCAGCAGGTGACAGCAGGGGACACACTCTGTGAATCCTTGTATATGCTCAAATACCTTTCTTTTATTCTGACAGCTGAACTGATAGCTTGCCTGGGTACAGGATTCTTGAGTTGCATTCCTTTTATCTTCCGTGGTCTGTAGATGAAATTCCACCATCTTCTAGCTTCTTGGTATTGCAAATAGGAAATGTGGCGCCAGTGTGATTCTTTTTCCTTTGTAAATAATTTGTTCCTTTGGCCTGAATGCTTGAAAGATTTTTCTCTTCATCCTAAGAGTTCAGAAATGTTACCAGCATATGCTGAGATGTGTCTTTTCTCATCGCTTTTATCTTTCAATATGTAGACTCAAGTGTTCCTTTTTCAGGGAAATTTTCTTCTCTATATTTCATTATTTCATGAGCACTGTTTACCATATATTTCTAGTTTTCCTTCTTCCATCTATACAGAACAGTCTGTGCCTGCTCTCTTTGAAGTGAAGGGTGGGTCTGGGATTTGCTTTGGCCAATGAAATGTGAGCACAAGTAATGTGTGAACATCTAAGTAGACCAAAGAGCCAGTGCACGATTTACCACATGACCTGCACTGCTGCAGTGATCAGGGACGCAGGCAATGAGACAAAGCCGGTCAGCTCGGGCCCCCAAAGAATGATAGAGTGCAGAGCGCCCTGCTTGACCTGCACCTGCCTGTAGCACGGGGAAAAATACATGTGTTGAGCTAAGCTACTGAGCTCATGGGAATGTTTGTGACAACATTATAACCGAGGCCTAGCCTATCCCGATGGATACACCCTTCCTCTACTTTTTTCTCCTTCTAATGCACCTATTGCTTGTATGTCAGTTGTCTTGGTTCTATCTTCCAGGTTCCTTATCTCTTTCTTCGTAACTTCTCTTTGCTTTTTCTCTGGAGCTCAGCCTTTCTACCTCCCTGTGGGCTGTGCAATGCCTCCCTACCCCTGCCCCTCACCCTGCCTTGGCTCAAAGAGGTAAATGGTTGGCACTGGGAGTCAAAGAGATGGGACATGTGTTCTAGCCACTACGTCCCCAGAATGCTGTCTGCTGGATATTCATATTTTGCTCTTTGCGTCTACACACATCCTTGTATCAACAATCTACATACTTGTTATCTTCAATGTCTGTATTCCATATTGATAATCTAATATACTGTGCCTAGCCATTTTCTTCTGTTGGGTAGGTAGAATTCCCAATTTTTGCCTTCTACAAAGATCTCACTTGTGATCTCCATTCTTTACTCTAAGCATGGTATATTCCACTCACAACATACTTTAGCTGTTTCTTGATTCTACATTGACTGGAATGGAGGAAAGAGAATCAAGACTAGGCGTCAGAGAATCAGACTTGGTGTCAGAAGAAACAGGCTTTCCCAATCCCCAGCCAGGTGACTTTGTACAAGCTACTGAATAATATTTGAGCAGTGCCCTGTCTACTGTCCAGAATTGTTTTAAAGCTCAACCAAAGATGGATACGTGAATGCTCCCTGCGGGAAAGCACTGTGAAATGTGGGGTGGCCATTTCACTGGGTATATACAGCACAGTTCGAATACACTCAGGCTTGCTGGTGAATCTGCCTATTTGAGGAACTTCACAAATTCTTCAAGCAAAAAAGTGAAAAATGAGCTGAATCTACATAATGTATTTAATGGACGTTAAGATGCCATCAATTGTAAGAGGCACCATTATAAGCCTTCAAGAGAGGGGGAAAAAGCTGCCAATTATAATTTTAAGATGCGGTTACACCCATTTAGGTACTAAGAAGGAAAAAAGAAAAAAGAAGATGCAGTTACACAACATATCTTGGTTTTAGAGTTGTTGCTAAATTGCGAAATGTACATGACTTAGAATCAATGAACCTATGAAAAATACATATATGGATATCTGAACAATTATACCAACTGAATCCCAATCACATACCCAATAAATTCCTGTGCACTTACTGCAAACCAGAGCAGGCTCAGTGGAGCTATCTATAGCAGGGAACCAATGGAAAGACCGACACAGTGTATATGTGGAGCCGGACCTAGGGACATCAAAGCCACCCTGCCGTAGAGCAGGCCAGGCTGCAGTCCTGGCTGCTGGAGCCTCAACAACAGCACTGCAGCCATGTGAAGAATGGGAAAAGCATCTGTCAAGAGCAGGGGTTATGGCTACTCATTTGTCCTGTTCCCTCTGACCCTCTAATCCATTTCTTCCAGAGAGGCCCTGGAAGGGCTACTTAGGAGGGAATGACAGGGGTGGAGACAGGGACATTATGGTCCATGACTTGAGCCTAAGCAAGTACAAGAAGCTGAAAAGTTTAGCATAAGTGTGAATCAAGTCCCTCCAACTACTGTATAGGAAAAATGAATGTTGATGTATAATTCCTTGTCACCTGGCTACCACACTGGGGTAGGTTCAGGAACATCTAATTATGACTCAAAAGGTGTGGATATAAAGTCTCCAGGGGAACATTTGGCTTGTATTTTGGAAATGTCTTATTTAAAGGATGGACCATCTGTTCAGAAAGAAAGATCCTCTTCCTCTAGGTCCAGTATCCCAAGGGTCAAGCCAGAATTTCTTCTAGTTCTTAGATATTAACGATTACCCATAAGCTAGGCAATGTGATACACAAGTCTGGCCAGGAAATGCCTAGCTGTTTTTCTCTCGTGTGGCTGTCCCACCTCCATTTCAATCCCCAACTCACTGCACACCTATGCCCCTTAGGCCCAATACCCACAACCACTGCTGGCTGGACTTTCCAGTGTTTGGGCAGTGCCAGAGAACACCAGTAAGAGTGGGCTGAATTCCCTATCTGTTCCTCATAAAATCAGCAAGGACTGTAGCCAAGGACCACCTCCCTCAAAAAACTAAAACAAAGGGAACAATAAAAAAGGCAATTACCACCCATAGAGGATTTATGGACTGTCTCTACATTACAACATACAGGAGCATCACTTCTTCCGACTCCAGGGGAATGCTTTCTAAGCAGGAACCGGCCATGCAAGTTGGGCTTTACTCTTAGCAGCTGGCCTTACAAGACTAGAGAAAGAGGGTTGGCCTTGGAACCTCTGGTTGCAGGCTTGCTTCTCCCCTGTGCATACGCTGTTTTTCTAAGTCCTGGGGTCTTTATTGATATAGTTAGAAATTCCAACCTCTAACTTTCCTTTTTTATGGAAAGTGTGTGTGTGAGTGTGTGTGTGTGTGTGTGTGTGTGTGTGTAGGTGTGATTGGGGGAGAAAAGGAGAACTAGGGAAGGGAGAAGAACACAGAAGGAAAGTTTTACACAGAATCTATACAGGACCAACAGTTTATTTCTGGGCTCCTAAAGGCATCGTCTACCCCATCATCCAGCCCGCTGGCTGACAGAATTTTTCACTGGCACCAAAGAAAATGCTTAAACACACCACTAGATCATGTTCAGCACAGTATCTGACTCACCAGCAAATGGACATGACACTCACATCTAAGTGACTGCTCATATGGAATAAAACCATTTGCCGTGCACTGTGTAACTTACATTTATTGATGCCGACAGGCCCAGCCTTCATGTCACTGGCGGTTTGCTAAAAGCCTCCTTCCATGGCTCCCAGTGTAATCCCAGGATGCAGAACATGCGCTGCTATATTCATTTCATAAAATCTATCAGCTGAGGTTTGGGCGCTGGCACACAGCAACACTGCAGCTGGCTTCTTGCCTTGGACCCAGACTGGGCCCCTTCTCATCAGGGCATCCTCACTCAGCTGTACCTCCAACAGAGAAGTAGGGCCCCTTCTCATCAGGGCATCCTCACTCAGCTGTACCTCCAACAGAGAAGTAGGTACAGGCGGCAACTCAGTGGACATCATGGTCCTATAGGTCGCAGCTGTGTTTGCATCTAAAGAGGAAGAAGCCAAAGAGTAGAATGGAGTTGTTTTGAAAGCTCAATGGCAGTGCAGTGATCAATCCCATCAAAGGGAACACCCAGGGTAAGAGAAGGCCTTCATACTTCAGTCCTTGCTTTTCTGTCATCCATCCACAGAAAAAGATATGGAAAGACCCTAGACAGCTATGGGGCCTGACCAAAGGTTCAAAAGGAATTTCCTAGGGAGACTGTCCAGACACAAAGCATGAATGAGAAGGACCATGAATTCTAAGTTCCCTAAAATAGTGAATGACCCCTACCAAGGCGTGTAAAGTGCCTCTGGTTCTGATTACTTGAATCTGGAGATAAGAAAAGGAAAGGAGAGGGTTGGGAGCAAGAAGGACAGAGGAGGAGGCTCTAATATGGTAGCAGGAACATGGCAACACCTCATAAATCTTTATTCATGATAATTGTTCCAAGGTTAAAAAAGTCAAAGTCAAACATCTCCTGATGACAACAAGTAATCTGGCTGGCAAGCAAAAGATCTATGATATGATATAACATTAAAATCAGGCATGTGTCGGTAGACAAAATATTAAGCCAGTAAGCAGTCTCTGTATTGGACCTTATAAGCATAAATACTTATGAAATGAGAGGATCACCTAAACTGGCAATTCTTTCTTCATTTTGGCATTTCACCTTGAAGACTACTTTTACTTTCATTTTGACATTCCCTCATTTCAAGTCAGAACATCAACTTCCCAGAATACTGGCATCAAGAACATAAATATTGACAAATACCATTTCCTGAAATGTGAGGAAGAGAGTCACAAAACAAGCAGAAAAACAAAAAGGGAAAACGTAGCTCTGGATTCAGAACTCCAGCACTCAAGTGCTAACTCTTCCACTCCCCAGTTATATGGCCAAGGGCAAGTAACTTAATCTCCCTGAGCTTTCATTTTCTCATCTGTAAAGCAGGAGAAATTTTACCCACGCAGCCATTACACAGGAACGCATGTGTAAACAGCTATATGAATGTGTGGGAGGCAGAATGACGGCTCCCCAAAGACGTCCACATCCTAAACCCCAGAACCTGTGAATGTTACCTTACATGGCAAAAAGGACTCTGCAGAGGTGATAAATGAAGGATATTAAAATGGGGAGATTATCCATATGGGCCCAATCACAGGGTCTTTATCAGGCAAAGAGAAAGGCAGGAGAGTCAGAGAAGATATGACTATGGAAACAGCCAGAGAGAGATTTGCAGATGCTACACTGCTGGCTTTGAAGATGAAGGGGCCACAAACCAAGGAAAGCAGGTGGCCTCTGGAAGCTGGAAAAGGCAAGGAAAGAGAGTCTCCCCTAGAGCCTCCAGAAGAATGCAACCCCGCCAGCACCTTGATTTTAGCCTAGTAAAACCATTTCAGATTTTTCACCTCCAAAAATGTAAGAAAATAAATCTATGCCATCAAATCTGTGGTCATTTGTTACAGTAGCAATAGGAAATTAATACAAAACACTACAGGAGAAATGGCTATTCTCTAAAGGATCAAATTTTAAAAGGGTTAAGGTAACGGGTTCCCTGGCTCTGCTAAAAATTTTGAAGCAAGTGTCTCAGTCAGTTTAGGCTGCTGTAACAAAATACTATATGCTAGGTGGCTTAAACAATAAACATTTATGTCTCACAGCTCTAGAGGCTGCTGGCAGATTTGATGTCTGGTGAGGGCTCTCTTCCTGATTTGCAGACGGCCACCTTCTTGCTGTGGCCTCACATGGTGGGGAGAGAGCTCTGGTGTCTATTCTTCTTATGAGGCCATCAACCCTATCAAGGGGGCTTCATCCTCATGACCTCATCTAAATCCAATTACCTCCCAAAGGTCCTACATCCAAATGCCAACACACTCGCGATTAGGCTTCAACACATGAATTTGGTGGGAAGGAGAGGAAACACACACGATCATTCAAGCCCATAGCATGTGGCATCCTCTCTTGGGGAATGATTGAAAATTGTATAGATATGTGCCAAAATCAAGTAGGAAAAGCAACCAAGTTAGTCAGTCTGTCTATCCATTCATATTTACTCTAGTTATTAAATAGTAAGGAAACATGGCAAAACATTAAATATAATTTCCACTCTCAGCAAATTGATGACCCATTAGAGAAAAGGAGAGAAGAGAAGGCCACAGAGCTCTCATTCATTTCACATTTTTCACAGACCTAAGTGGCTGTCTACCGAATGTATCTAACACAGATTTTCTACCTGGATGCCCCTGGAACGAACTTCAGAGAACCCAACAATCCTCTAACCAATACGCCACATTCCGAGGTAGGTGTGTTTTTCCAGGGGATGGATCCCCTGGATTTAGGTTGTCAAAGGGTTTGGGGAGTTTATAATCCAAGGGTTCAGAACCATTTGTATAACAAGAGAAAGAGTATAGACAGAAGATAAGAACATACTGTAGGCCAGGCGAGGTGGCTCACGCCTGTAATCCTAGCACTTTGGGAGGCCGAGGCGGGCGGATCGCTCAAGGTCAGGAGTTCGAAACCAGCCTGAGCGAGACCCCGTCTCTACCAAAAATAGAAAGAAATTAATTGACCAACTAAAAATATATATACAAAAAAAAATTAGCCGGGCATGGTGGCGCATGCCTGTAGTCCCAGCTACTCAGGAGGCTGAGGCAGGAGGATCGCTGAGCCCAGGAGATTGAGGATGCTGTGAGCGAGGCTGACGCCACGGCACTCACTCTAGCCTGGGCAACAAAGTGAGACTCTGTCTCAAAAAAAAAAAAAAAAAAAACAACAAAAAAACCCCAAAAACAAACATACTGTAATATTAATAGATATTTCGGTAAGGGTCCCCAAGCTTGTCACATATTTTTAGTACAGAGGAGTCTCCGAGGGAAGAAGAAAACTGAACCAAGCCCCCCACTTGAAGATAAGAGTCATTTACTGTTTTCTAAGGCATACAAGGGGGCTATTTACAGCAACTTCCATTAAACACATTTTTTCTTTCTCCTAAGCCAGCACACATGCCGCTATTCCCTACCCTACACAATGCTCTCTCAATGCCACCTACACCTCTCGGGTGACTGCCCCACTATGGCTGACGGGCCTGCAGAGAGTTGTCTCCAATGGCCACCTTCACTTCATCTCCTTCCAGTCCCTCTTGAACCTACTCCAATTCCCAAAACCACCCTTTCCAAGGTCAACAACGACCTCCACCTGACAGCATCTTAAGTCAATTCTTGAACACTCAGCATCCATGTTGGAAAGGTGACCCTCCGCCACTTGCCCACCCCCCACGTTTTTACATTTGCTTTCTGGCCCCTATTTGACACCTGCTGCTTCCCTCTCACCTCCTTAGACAATGCCACCACTCTGGACCACCCACCACATCTTAATTTCTTCTGTACCTGCTGTCTATCTCCCTCGGTACAATATAAGCTTCTTGAAGGCAGAACCTGTTCCTTTTACTGCTGTATACCCAGAGCCTGGTGCATGATATGCTCTTGAAAATATCTGTTGGATGAACGAATATCACACTTCATGGAACTGTGTGAAAAATGCCCAGCTGTACAACCGGAAAGAGATAAATTGAGAGTATGTCAGCCTGTTGTTTGAGTCCATTCCCAGCAGAGGCTGCTTCTACCACTCAAGGTTCCAGCAACTGCCAGACCACAGTGAGGGTTTAAGTAGGACAGTGAAGTGTGTGTGAGACAGAATGTCAGTTAGGAACCCACTGCGGTCATGCTGCTTCCTGCCCAACCGGTGGTTCCGATAAGGGGCACAGATAATAATCATATATGCATGTGTGCAGACTACAGGCACCCCTGCCACCAGGCTGTGCAGTAGGCATGATGGGATCTGCTTTGGTTGCCACCTGGGCAGGTCTTGACAGTACTGGGGGACAGTCCATGCCTCCATGCTAAATCGAGTCATGTTGTGCTAGAAGAGCCTCCAGTTTCTCATGCCTCCTACCAAAGGCAAGGAGCAGGCAGGGCCTCTCCATCTACTCTTCCCCACCCACCCCTATCTGGAAGTGCCCACAGACAGTGGAAGAGCAGTCTGTACCAGTGACCTAGGCTTACTACCCCAGATGGGCTGGCATGGGACCCGATGGCCTGGACAGTGGGGACTTCTGAACAGTTCTGCACTCTGATACATTTCCTTCAAAAAAACAAAACAAAACAAAACTTTTTTTTTTTTTTGCCAAAAGGATTTACAGATTCAATGCAATCCCTATCAAAATACCAACGCCATATTTCACAGATCTAGAAAAACTAATTCTATGCTTCATTTGGGACCAAAAAAGAACCTGAATAGGCAACGTAATCTTAAGCAAAAAGAACAAATCTGGAGGCATCACATTACCAGACTTCAAATTATACTGTAAGCCTATAATAACCAAAACAGCATGGTACTGGTATAAAAGTAGAGACATACACCAATGGAACAGAATAGAGAACCCAGATATAAAACCATCTATCTACAACCAACTGCTCGCTCGCGCTCTCTCGCTCGCGCTCTCTCTCTCTCTCTCTCTCTCTCTTTTTGGCTATAGGAAAAGAAACCAACTGCTCTTTGACAAAGCAAACAACAACATAACTGGGGAAATGAAGCCCTATTCAATAAATGGTGCTGGGAAACCTGGATAGCCACATATGGAAGAATGAAACAAGACCCCTAATATACAAAAATTAATTCAAGATGGATAAAACACTTAAATGTAAGGCATGAAACCATAAAAATTCTAGAAGAAAATGTAGGAAAAACTCTTCTAGATATCAGTCTAGGCAAAGAATTTATGACTAAGACCCCAAAGGCAAATACAGCAACAAAAATAAATAAATGAGACTTGATTAAATTAAAAAGCTTCTGCACAGCAAAGAAAATAATCAAGAGAATAAAGAGACAATTTACAGAATGGGAGAAAATATCTGCAAACTATTTATCTGATAAAGGGCTAATATCCATAATCTACGAACTCAAATAAGTAAGAAAAAAACCAAACAATCCTATTAAAAAGTGGGCAA